CTAAGTGAGTGTGCCCTGTCTGTGCCCTTCCCTGCCCTACTGACTCTGGCCCTTTGAGCCCTCTCCTATTCTTTTCTTTCTGAAGGGCATTGCAAGATGTGCAGATCCGCTTCCAGCCACAACTGAACCCTGATGTGGTGGCCCCGCTCCCCACCCACACTGCCCATGAGGACTTTGGTGAGTGAGGGGTGAGAGGGAAGCAGATTAGACTGGCCAGGGTCTGAGATCTGACTAAAGTGGAAGATTTCCCCACAGCATTTGGAGAATCTCGGCCTGAACTGGGCTCTGAGGGCCTGGGTTCAGCTACTCACGGTTCCCAGCCTGATCTCCGACGCATCGTGGAGCTACCTGCACCTGCTGACTTCCTTAGTCTGAGCAGTGAGACCAAGCCCAAGCTGATGACACCTGATGCCTTCATGACACCTAGCACCTCCTTGCAACAGGTATGCTGGAGCTGAGGCTTGAGGCTCAGGGTAGGGGGGCCTGGGAATCCCTACCCAAAGGCCATAGCTGTTACTCTCTGCATCTCCCCAGATTGCTGCATCCCCTAGTAATAGCAGCAGCAGTAGCAGCAGCAGCAGCAGCAGCAGCAGCAGCAGCAGCTCCTCCTCTCTTACAGCTGTATCTGCCATGAGCAGTACCTCAGCTGTGGACCCCTCCTTGCCCAGGTGAAGTGAGGGTCAGAGTTGTGGGGTGGCAAGGGCTGATGCCAGGTGATGCCAAGCTCTGGCTGCTTATACCTCAGCCTTCCTGCCACCAGGCCACCTGAAGAGCTGACCTTGAGCCCCAAGTTGCAGCTGGATGGCAGTCTCACAATGAGCAACAGCAGCAGCAGCAGCCTGCAGACAAGCCCACGCAGCCTTCTGCCCAGCCTGCTCCCAGGTCCAGCTGACAAATTGACTCCCAAAGGGCCTGGGCAGGTGCGTGTGTGTGAAATGCAGGTTAGCGGGTGTATAGCAGCAGGAAGGTTGGCGGCAGTCTTCTGTAGCACCCTGTCTGCTTATCCTGTTCTGCCTCAGATGGTCAATGTTTCCCTTGAGGTCATCTCAGCCTCCCATGTTCCTTGGAGGGCAGCTCCTCAGCCTATCCATTCCCACCCCCTCTCCTGAGCTGTGGCTATTTTTGACTGCATCCTCCTTCCCCACTGTCCCATCTCTCATCACCACAAACCCCAGTGTCTCATTTCTGTGTTTCCCCTTCCCCTATTTCACTCTACCTAAGTCCCCATTTTGGCCCACCTCAGGTATCTACTGCTGCCTCTACACTGTCCCTGGAGCTGCAAGAAGTGGAGCCCTTGGGGCTACCCCAGGCTTCCCCCAGCCGAACCCGCTCCCCTGATGTTATTTCCTCAGCTTCCACTGCCCTGTCCCAGGATATCCCTGAGATCGCATCTGAGGCCCTGTCCCGTGGCTTTGGCGCCTCTGATGCTGAGGACCTTGAGCCAAACAGTATGGCCTCAGCTGCCTCAGCACTACACCTGCTGTCTCCACGGCCCCGGCCAGGGCCTGAGCTTGGTCCCCAGCTTAGCCTGGATGGAGGCCCTGGGGACGGGGATCGGCATAGTACCCCTTCCCTCCTGGAGGTGGCCTTGACCCAGGAGGCCACAGCCCCTGACAGTCAGGTCTGGCCTACTGCACCAGACATTACTCGGGAGACCTGCAGCAGCCTTGCAGAAAGGTGAGGAGCTTAGGACGGGGAAAGTGTACTGATGGTAGGGGCTTCAGATGGAGTTATCCACTGCTGAGTTGGCCTCTTCTCCCAGCCCCAGGAATGGCCTTCAGGAAAAACACAAGAGCCTGGCCTTCCACCGACCACCTTATCACTTGCTACAGCAACATGACAGCCAAGACACCAGTGCTGAACATAGGTAGATGCCACCCCACACCCTTTCACAAGGGTGGGCAAGCAAGTGGTAGGTGCTTATGCCTTTCCCCTTTTCAGTGACCATGATGATGAGGTGGCCAGCCTTGCCTCTGCTGCAGGGGGCTTTGGCACCAAAGTTTCCACTCCACGGCTGCCTGCCAAGGACTGGAAGACTAAGGGATCCCCTCGGTCCTCCCCCAAGCTCAAGAGGAAGGGCAAAAAGGATGATGGGTAGGAGGGGTCCTGTAGCCAGGGAGAGGGGTGGTCCCCAGGCTGCCTTCATGACTTGGTCTGAGGTGCTTCTCGCCTATGGCAGGGATTCATCCGTGGGATCCCGGCTCACGGAGCACCAGGTGAGTGAGCAAACACCCTTCCTACTTCTAGGACTCCTCTCTGAGGGTGGGGAAGAGCCCTGGACCATTCCCTAGTCTAGTGTGTGAGGACAGGTAGGGCAGGCATCATGTGACTGTTGGTGCTACTGGCAGGTGGCAGAGCCCCCTGAGGACTGGCCAGCATTAATTTGGCAACAGCAGAGAGAGCTGGCGGAACTGCGGCACAGCCAAGAAGAGCTGCTGCAGCGTCTGTGCACCCAACTCGAAGGCCTGCAGAGCACCGTCACAGGCCATGTAGAACGTGCCCTCGAGTCTCGGCATGAACAGGAGCGTATCCTTTTGGGCAGTGGAAGAGGGGTAGGGGCAGCTGCAGCATTCTGGGACCAAGAAGGGAAATGGGACCTGCTCCAGGCCTGTTCCTTAGCTACAATACAGAGCGGCGGCTGGAGCGGGCACTGGCCGAGGGACAGCAACGGGGTGGGCAGCTTCAGGAACAGCTGACACAACAGCTGTCCCAGGCACTATCTTCAGCTGTAGCTGGGCGACTGGAGCGTAGCATACGGGATGAGATCAAGAAGACAGTGCCTCCATGTGAGTTTTGCATGGAGACTTCTGGATGGACTGGGTGGGAGTGGGGCCCCCTACCTGTCAAACTTCTTCTCATGGCTCCACCTCTCCTTCCTTACCCTGCCCCAGGTGTCTCTAGGAGTCTGGAGCCTGTGGCAGGCCAACTGAACACCTCAGTGGCCACCAAGCTCACAGCTGTGGAGGGAAGCATGAAAGAGAATATCTCCAAGCTGCTGAAGTCCAAGGTGCTATAGGGCCAGAGATGAGGGAGGTTGGTTGTTGGTGGTTGGTGGGCGGTCAGGCCAGTTTGGGCTCAGGCTTTCGGCTCGGTCCGGCCCCTCCCTCTACCCCCAGAACTTGACAGATGCCATCGCCCGAGCAGCTGCAGACACATTACAGGGGCCAATGCAGGCCGCCTACCGTGAAGCCTTCCAGAGTGTGGTGCTGCCCGCCTTTGAGAAGAGCTGCCAAGCCATGTTCCAGCAGATCAATGATAGCTTCCGACTGGGCACACAGGAATGTGAGTGGAGTCAGGCTCCAAGGTGGAGGGTCTGTCCTCTTTTCCCCGACCATCCCTCTCATGGCCCCCATGGTCACCTTTCAGACTTGCAACAGCTAGAGAGCCACATGAAGAGCCGGAAGGTGCGAGAGCAGGAGGCCCGGGAGCCTGTGTTGGCTCAGCTGCGGGGCCTAGTCAGCACACTGCAGGGTGCCACTGAGCAGATGGCGGCCACTGTGTCCAGTAGTGTTCGGGCTGAGGTGCAGCACCAGCTGCATGTGGCTGTGGGCAGGTGTGTGGGTAGGGCACTGGGCAAGGTAGTAGGTTTGGAAAGGGCCAGACCAGACTTCTTGTCTACTTCATCTCCCTCATTTCCCTTTGCAGCCTGCAGGAGTCCATTTTAGCACAGGTGCAGCGCATTGTTAAAGGTGAGGTGAGTGTGGCACTCAAGGAGCAGCAGGCCGCCGTCACCTCTAGCATCATGCAGGCCATGCGCTCAGCTGCTGGCACACCTGTCCCTGCTGCCCACCTCGACTGCCAGGCCCAGCAAGCCCATATCCTGCAGCTGCTACAGCAAGGCCACCTCAATCAGGCCTTCCAGCAGGTATGCCAGGCATTAGGGCCAGCTAAGGCTCAGGTGTCTCCTGACAAGGCCCACACACTAAATGCTATTCTCTACCCAGGCCCTGACAGCTGCTGACCTGAACCTGGTGCTCTACGTTTGTGAAACTGTGGACCCAGGCCAGGTTTTTGGGAAGCCACCTTGCCCACTATCCCAGCCCGTGCTCCTTTCCCTCATCCAGCAGTTGGCCTCTGACCTTGGCACTCGAACTGACCTCAAGCTCAGGTGAGTGGGCGCAGTTGGACCAGGAGATGGGCTGGGGTAGAGGTGGGGGAGCAGTTCAAAGCAGACTCCCACTCTAGCTTGACTCCCTCCCTAATTCCACCAATTCCCTTTGCCCCTACCCATCTCAGGCTTGGAGGACTCCCTTGTCAGTCTTCCCTCTGGGCCTCATTGCCACCAGGGGGCGCTCCCATGCTGGAGCCCACCTGTAGCCTGTACCTTTTCTCTATCCCCAGCTACCTAGAAGAGGCTGTGATGCATCTGGACCACAGTGACCCTATCACTCGGGACCACATGGGCTCAGTCATGGCCCAGGTGCGCCAGAAGCTCTTCCAGTTCCTGCAGGCCGAACCACACAATTCACTTGGCAAAGCAGCCCGGCGTCTCAGCCTCATGCTGCATGGCCTTGTGACCCCCAGCCTCCCTTAGCTAAGCCTGCCTTGCCCAGGAGTGGGGTGGCACTGAAGGCCAGTAGACAGGCCTAGGCCAAAGCAGGGTCATGTCTGCCCTTTACCTGCTCAGACTTCCACTTCTGGGGTGTTTGAGAGGGTGAGCACTGGCTGTGGTCTACAGGTTATGGTAGCCAGCAGGTTTAGGCTGGGCCCAGGGTGGGTATTGTGCCTTCTTGAGTCCTGCCATACCTGGAGCATGATGCCTCCCCCCTGAGATTGTGACACCACTTGAGTTGAATTTTCCATGTTCCTTTTTACCTCTGTTTTGGATCTTTTTGTTTTTGGAAAACATTAAGAAATTCAATTAAATGTTTTTGGAATAAAATGGAGTATGTGTGCTTTTGGTGTGTCTTTGATAACTGACCTCTGTTCCCTGGCCTCTGTCTTCTCCCTGTGTGGAGCTGTCAAGGCCAACCCACTCTAGGGGCCTGGATACCCACCCTCATTGCACAACTGCATTCCTAGATCTCCCCTCTCCATCTCTGGGTTGAGGTCCCTGGATCAGCTCAGCAGGCATTGATCCCCTGGACTCTTCTCTCTACTGTTCCTCTCCTTTGCTAACTTAAATGTACTGATTTGCTTTGCAATGTGGTGGGGCTGCCTGCTGGCTTTGAAGCCTCGCCCCTAGCTAGCTCCCATCCAATCACAGTCCTTCCTTCCGGGGGCTGGGCTAAAGGGCTGCACTCCAAGCTGCTAGCTCTGCCACTACGCTCCCAACCGGGATGATGCTCTGTTGCTGCTGTTGCCACTGCCAGCGACTACCCTGTGCGGTGGGGCTGTTGCTGCTGTTACTACCACTGGGTGAGTGCAGGGGTACTGGACTGGCCTGGGCCTTATACCCTCTCATCAGGCTGCATTTAGGGTATGTGAGAGCTGGGGAACAACCTTCCTGAGCTCTGGGAGCCAGGGCGGCAAGGAGGTGCAAGGGCTCCAGGGAGGGGATAATGTATACCAGTGGCTTCAGAACCAAAAGTGAGGGGTGTGACCGGAGCCCCGGTAGTGGGAAAAGGACCTCAAAATATCACACCCCCATTCTGATAAAGGGAAGACATGGCCTTTGGTGAGACTGCTAGACCAGCCTTGGGATTCCCTGAGGTCCTCTGTTAGGATATGATCTGAATCCTGACACCCTCTATCCTGCTCTACCTATCCGAAAATACCTGTTTTGGTGTGGAGTGGGAAGGCCAAGCGAAGTTTGTCTAGACTGTAGAGAGGGAGGATGATGCTGGGGTGGGGGTGGGAGACGAGTGTGGCTCTGGACCCTGTCCTGGCTCCTTCACTTGGGCCAACTTCACCTGACTTGGGACTACAGAAGCCCCAGAAGCTCAGAGAAAGAACTGACCCTTGGGACATGAAGATACCTACCCCCCCCCTCTTCCACACTTACTCTGTTCTTTGGCCCCACCTAGAACAGAGCCCAGGCAGATGATTTCCAGACATACCCCTTATTTCCCTGGGGTCTCTTTCGCGCTGAGTCATATCCCCAGAGCATGCCAGGGTAAACAAGCCCCTGGGGGTTGGGAGGTGAACCAGCTCATCCTATCAACTATTTTCCACCCCCACCCCCAGTCCTTGTATCTTCCCTAGAGGCAGCTGCTGTGGGCCCAGGTGGCTGTGACAACATATACCAGGGCTTTGGGGAGTGTCTCATCCGCTTCGGGGACAACATGGGCCACGGAGGCAAGCTGGAGACTGTCTGCAGGTAAGAGGAGATGCGAAGGTAGCAGCCTGACCCCTGCTACCCTACATGCCTGAATCTCTTTCTCCTTGTCCCACCTAATTCCCCTAACCCCATTCCCTTAATAGGTCTTGGAGTGACTTCCACATCTGTGCCTCTCAAGTCCTGTCAGGCTGCCCAAAGGAGGCGGTTGCTGTGTGGAAGTTACTACAGCAAGAAGCTCGCCGGACTCCGCACCCAGATAACTTGCACACTCTGTGTGGTACCCCTGTGCACCTCTGGGAGCCTGGTGCAGGCCCCGAGACCAACCAGGAGACACTGAGGGCAACAGCAACAGCAACAGCCCCTGCACCCCTGCTGCTGGCTGCTGCTCTGGCATTTGTTTGCCTTCTGGGGCCTCTGGCCTAGCCATTGGGGTCAGGTAGCAGTGCCCCTGCTGCCACCACTGTTCTGGTGGCTGCCTCAAAGCTCTGTAAGGTGCATTCAGCTTTCATTAAAGCTCCTTCCTTTCTTCTGGCTGCTCATTTCTTGACTGAGGTGGAGCCCTCCAGAAGCTGATCCCAAGACAGAATGGGCAGGGTCCAAGGCTGCCACAGGGGACTCCATCTTTCTCCTTACAAACACTCATTTCCCAGGGGCAGTGCTGAGCTTTCCATTATGTGCAGATTCTAAGACCTCTAGTGATTTGTCTTCCCAGGTTGGTATTCCTAACCCTTCCTGGCCCCTAGGGGCCCCATAAGGTGGTAGAGTGTCTCACTCTACTCCCCACTATGGCCACCCCCCACCTCCAGGTTCAGACTAAGTGCACTGTCCTCTCCCTCTCTGGGGTCCTATTTGAGGGGATGCTATTCCAGAAGGTGGGGAGCCCCTGTTGGACTCTACATTTAGGTCCCTGAGGTGACCTGGAGCTGCTGAAACGGGGGTCACAATGAGGGTTCTCCTGGCCTCTGCTCTCCACAAGCTTGTCCTTTGAGAAGAGGTATGCAGCGTGAAGTCAAAACAATACGAGAAAGCATTCTGGAAGCATGGAATGGGGGTGTGGTGTGAGGTGCCCCTGTTCATCCTGGAGGAGAGGAAGAGCAAGATTCAGCATGGGCAAATCCTGAGGGAAGGAGGAGTCTCAGAGAGGGTGAGATCCTCTTTTGTTTAGTCTCCTACCACCAGCACCAGGACCCTATTCCAAGCCACCACCCCACAGTGGGTACTGCCATGGCCTCCTCACTGGCTTCTACTCTCACTCCCTCCCCTTGATTCTCCATTTTCTATACTGAAAAACTGATCCTGCTGTTAAGCTCCTTTCCCGTTGTCTAGGAGGCCTACATAAGCCAGCTCTGCCCACAGTTTATTCAGTCTACTCCAACTCCCCTCTGTAGCAGCACAGAGGAGAGGAGTGATTTACCTATCCAGCCCCTGGGGTCAGGGGAGGCTTCAGAGAAGGAGCATGACAGGAGCGATAGGAGGTAAGGATGGAGACTTATAAGTGGGGGGAGAGGTGGGGCTGTGTTGGAGAGGGCTTTACAAGAGGGTCCCAAAGGAATCAGTTGGGAGGCAGGTAGAGAGGAGTGGGAACCCAGATCTAGGCAGGCCAGAGTTACACTAAAGCCCATGCTGGGAGGCTATGCCCCCAGGACAGAATCAAGCCTGATAGGACCCTTGCAGAGGCTCCAGGATGATAAGTGCTTCTAGAGACCTCCACCCACATGTGTAGGAGCCCTATTTTAATCCATGCTTCCCAAACATCCTCCCATCCCAATTAGGTCAGATGCTTCCATTAAACTCCCTCTCTGCCCTATCTTTGCTCCTGTGCTTCATTTGCCTGTACTTTTATCCCCACTTCTCTCTGCCAACCAGCATTACTCATCTTCTGTCATCTGAAGGAGAAAGTTCAGAAAAAACCCCTCCCAGATCTGCCCCCCTTTGACCACCAGAATTTTCCAGAAGGAAAGGCCACACTTTTATTCCCTGGGTCTTTGTACATTTTTTTCTCTGCTTGGAATACCCTTCCCCATTTTCTCCTGGTGAATGCCTTTCTTGTTCAGTATCACCTCCTCCAGGAAATATTCCCTAACCCTGACTCCAAGCTGAATCAGCAGCCTCCTACAGGTCGACACAGCTCGTGGGCTCTCTTCTATCTCTGTACTGAGAGCACTGGCTTATTGCTGTCTGGTTCCGGGTCAGAATTTCCATCTGTGTACTCCCAAGGATCTTCTTTGTGTCTCTAGCACCCAATCTAGGGCTGGGTAAAAGAGTGTACTTGTGGGAGGTATGGAATGAAGGATAGAATCTCTAAGTCCAGCATAGGAAGAGTTACAGTCAGCAAGAGCTTGACTGAGAATAACCTCAGTGTGGAGGCTGTATTATCTTGGGGCAGCCCCCTCAGCCTGGACATATTGTGGGGATGGATGGTGCTGGAGCTCCAGACCCCAAAAATCTTCCCAGAGCCATTCTTGGTGGGTGGCCAAGAGCAGCCTGCTTCAAGTAGCAGGGGCTGACTGCTCTGGCCAGCCATGGAGGGGATTACCATCCTCCTGCTGTGACCTACTTTCCCCTGGTGTTTGCTCCCTAAATCCTTGCTCTTGCCTGGAATTGAGTAACCTGCAGTGTGTGTATGGGGTTGAAGGTGGGGAGAAAATCTGTTCTCTGGCCAGGGGTTTAAGAGCTTTGTGTATTTTATCCCAAAGCTGGAGGAGAGGGGTAAGCTGATAGCCACACTTACTGGGTCCTAGACACAGGTGCCCAGGCCAGAGCATCATGGGGGTGGTGTTTCTTACATTTGAAGCTCTGCAGATATGGAACAGTTTATTGTTCAGGGGACAAACTGGCAGCTGGATGTCCTGAGCCCAGACCCCTCTGCATCAACATACTTCTTCACCTCAGGGCTTGGTGTTCTTTACCAGAGCCAAGGTCAGCACCTGCCCATAGCAAGGGCTCAATAAATATATTTTTAAAATATATTTTTATTGATTTCAGAGAGAGAGGAAGGGAGAGGGAGAGAGAGATAGAAACATCAATGATAAGAGAATGTCACTGATCAGCTGCCTTCTGCACCCCCTGCTGGGGATCGAGCCTGCAACTCCGGCATGTGCCCTGACCCCGAATAAAACTGCAATCTCCTAGATCATTGGTTGATACTCAACCACTGAGCCATGCCGACCTGGCTCAATAAATATTTGTTGAATTAACTTGCTGAATATCTGTCAAATAGGAGTGTTGTGTGGATTTCTAAGCCCCATTAACCCAGATTTTCTATGTTGCTCTTAACCCTCACAATAACCCTGTGGGGTTAGGATTACGATCCTCATTACACAGATAAAAATAAGGATAGCCCTGGCTGGGCAGCTCAGTTAGTTGAAGCATGGCCCGGATATACCAAGATTGTGGGTTCGATGCCTGGCCAGGGCACATACAAGAATCAGCAAATGAATGCATGAATAAGTGGAACAACAAATTGATATTTCTATCTCTCTCAAGAAACAAACAAACAAAAAAATAAAAAGAAAAGAAAAATGAAGCTTAAGAATGGGAAATGTCTTGCCTAAGGTCACACAGCTGTTGAAGTGTCGAGCTAGGATATGATCCCAGGTTTGTTTGGCCCCAAAGTCCATGCCCCTACTCATTACACTAGACTTTTGGAAGCAATTTATAAAATTTTATTTTATTTTTTAAATAAAGCTGTTTATAATTCCCTACTAAATAAATCAGACAAACTGATGTTTATTGGTGTTAATTTATTTTTAGGTTTAAAGTATAGCATTAGCTTATAACAGTGATTTTCAACCTTTTTCATATCATGGCACATATAAACTAATTACTAAAATTCTGCAGCACACCAAAAAAAATTTTTTTTGACAGTCTGACCAAAAACATTGGTATAATTCTGATTCATTTACTCTGGACAGCTATTGTGTTGGCTGCCATTAAAAAAATATATATATCTTAAAAAATAAATAAATAAAAATAAAAATATATCTTGATTAATTTCAGAGAGAGGAAGGGAGAGGGAAAGAGAGATAGAAACATCAATGATGAGAGAGTCATTGATCTGCTGCCTCCTGCATGCCCTCCTGGTGGGGATTGAGTCAGCAACCCTGGCAGGTGCCCTGACCAGGAATCAAACCTCGATCTCCTGGATCATAGGTTGATGCTCAACTGCTGAACCATGCCTGCCCGGCTGGCTGTCACTTTTTTACTTGACAAGCTAAGGGAAAAACGGTCAGTGCCCTTGACCAACTAACTAGTCAGGCATAGTATGTTTCAAAAATTCTTGCGGCACACCAGTTGAAAATTGCTGGCTTATATAGTCCATTAAAGATAGTTCCATGTGCGGATTAAGTGTTCATTCAATAAAGACTTGTTGAATAAATGCACAGACTGAAATGAGGAAGGTGGATGGAGGTTACAATCCTCATCACCTGAAGCATCTATTCCTCCCCTCTCCTCCCCTGCAATTTGGGTTGTCTGTAAAGTAGTGAGAGGATTCTGACCCTATAGAGAAGTCGTTGTGAATAATAACAAGTTGTGTTTTTTTTTAAATCTACTTGGTTTTCAGTCTTAGGATACACTTAAAGTCAACAACAACAGTAAAAATGAAAACAAAAAGTATGATACTCCTGAATTGGCCCAAGACCACCAATCCTCAAGTTAACCATTTTCAACTCCTCTGAGATGAAGGCCAAATTTAACATATCTAAGTGCCTGAATTATTTTAACTGCAGTTTTCAAAACATAGATTTGGTAATAAAATTTAAATCGATCCTTTGGGGAGTTCCAAAGGCACTTCCAGTAACCTGCTGAAACGCATTACGTCCCCAACCTTGTACGACAGAGCACCCTCTCCTCTAACCGGAAACTTGAAACTTTCTCCCTACGCAGATACTCCTTTTTCTTTTTTTAAAAAATTAATCTTTTTACTTTAATTTTTTAGCTGTAGTTGACATTAAATATTATTTTATATTAGTTTCAGGTGTACCTGCTTTTTCTGTAACAGATTCCTCCCGCAGCCAACGGTGGAACTACATAGAGCAACAATTAGACCCGCCCCCCCAGCTCGTCCCCGCCCCGAAGGCTTGATTGGCAGGCCACGCTTGGAGTGCCCCCAACCGCGTAGCCCGGCCCTCCGGAGCGTCCGCCCCCGCCCCGCCCCGTAAGCGTCCGGGTTTGTTTTGGCGTCAAGCGCACTCAGTGATGACGCCACGACGCTAACGCCTGAGGATGGCGGCGGCGGCCGTGGCCGCGGCCCCGAGAGGGTCGGCACTGCCTCCAAGACGCCGAAGAGCCCGCCGCCCCCGCGAGGTGAGGCGGCCCGGCCCAGGGCTACGGCCCAACGGGCGGGAGGGGCTGACGAGCTACGGCCACGGTCGCCTCTTGGCGCACTGGGCCTGTCCTTTCCCAGACCCGAGCCTTCGGCC